TGTAATTTATTCATAGTGATTCCATTGGTACATCACTATGATAAGGCCTTGTATGTGCTATAGTATATTTTCAACTCTTACACCTACATACTCCCACAATGGTCCTGACGCTCTGAGTAATCTATTACAGAAGAGTCACTTTCTCAGATCTGTGAGCTGATGTCTCAGCTTGGTAGTTCTCAGACTTTCTTAAGTTTGGGCCCTGAGCTGGGGGATCTGAACACGTGGGCATGGCCAGGCATTTCTTTCTTTCTCTATGGGGCTGGATGAAGCTTTCTTAAATTCTGAGATTCTCCATGTGGACTTCTTATAATGAAGCTAGCTGCCCTTAAAGCAAATGTAAAATGATAATGTGGTAGCGAGTGCAAGACTTCAGTCCTTGGTTTTTACTGTTCATTGCAGTCTCTGAGACCCATTGCAATGTAAGGCAGAAGTAACAAGAATTTAAGACCATCTTCAAGACACTTGGTGCTATCTTAGGGAAAAGCTACAGGACCAGAAGTTGAGAAAGACCAGAGATTCACCTTAGATTGGGATAGAGACATATTGTGGGACCCCAGGGATCTCTTCACTGTGCTTCAGAGTCCATTTTTTTCCATTCATTCTGGCAAAGTAGTGTGTTGTGTCCCCTTTTCCCTAGCGGCCCATTGGCCCCCAGTCCATGAGGACAAAGTGGAGACAGAGATCTTTGTTTGACCTGTGAACATGGTGGAAATAGTCTTCAAGGAAACAGCTTCAGTTAAACAACTCAACTCTATTCCAGAATGAGGGGAGAGATAAAGGATGGAGACAGAGGCTGGGGCATCACCTAGTTTGCATTAAACACCACTGTTCCTATCTTGAGGCTCCTCGCCCAATGTCTAATTACCATATGGGCAGCAGGGGGAAGCTTCTGCAGGAGACTGTGTCAAGGGTCATACTAGAGATAAGACAGGCATCTAGACCTAGAGACATTCTCCAGATAGGGTACGGTAGAGAGCAGAAAGCCCCCTGCCAGGGAGAGGAAGTCCTCCATGTGGCTGAGCTCAGAGAGAACTGCCAGGCTGTGACAGACTGCAGCCTCTCACCAACAGGGACTCCCAACAGTTGTGGGTAGCATCAAGTAGAGACTTGTGGAGCAAATTCTGTGCCCTTTAAAATGCTGTTTTGAGTAACTGAGAATCTTGGGTCCTCATGGAGAGGTTTGGACAGGACAGAGGTCCCTAGATACCTCTTCTTCTAGATGTATACTGTATTTAAACAGACAAATGCCGTAAATACCATATTTACTCAATGCATTACTTTATTGTTACTTTAATACGTTGTGTGAGCACATTGTGTTTTATTAATAGTGGTGCTGCATAATTAATGTGAACATACATGTAATTGCTCAGTCACTTTGGTGCTGTAATTCCTCTTGTTTCCCAGATTAATTTGGTAGGCAGAGTTTTGCTACATAGCTCAGGACCCTCCCTACTAGGATTCCAGGCTTGTACCACTGCCCCTGATGTCAGGTTGAGCTAAGTTAATATCCTCAAGGAACCACTTGCTGGTATAAATACTTGACTGGAGTTCATGAAACAGAAAAGTAGACCCCCAGTCACTAGGCAGGTGAGACAGATACTATATAAAATGTGTCACTGATCCATAAAGTGTTCTTCCTTGTATTGGCAACTCTTCTATAAACGATCTCCCTTTCTCTAGGATTGATATGTATGTAGAAGGCTTGAGGGACCTGAGTGACATGATTATGTTCTTTCCACTCTCTCTGCCGGAAGAGAAGGAGATAAATCTTGAATACATCCTCCAACGAGCCACGACAAGATTTTTCCCTGTTTATGAGAAGGTGAGCAACAAACTTTGGCTGTTTTATAGCTTGCATTAAAGAGAAGAAAAATCAAATAAAATTGAAAACAGAACTAACTTGGTGGATGAAAGATTGCAAACCTTCTGTGAAAACTTGGCATTCTTCCCACACTTGTATGAATCTTCTTTTTTCCACTGCGTTTTCCTCCTTACCGGATCCTTTTCCCTCCCTCTCTCCCTTCCCTCCCTTCATCCTTCCCTTCCTCCCTCCCTTAGTCCCTCTCTCCCTTCCTTCCTTCATTCCCATTTTGTGTGTGTGCATATTGTATGTGCTCATGTGCGTATGTGTCTGTGTGAGTGTGCAGATGTGCACACCTATGCATGCATACAGAGGCCAGAAAAGGACATCAGGTGTCATCCTCCATCACTCTGCACTTAGCTCTCCTTTGAGATGGGGTCATCCCGGAACCCAGAGCTCTTGTTTTTAGTTAGACTGGAAGCCAGTAAGCCTCAGTGATTTTCTGTCTCTACTCATGTCAAAGCTGAGTTCACAGCTTTGGTGCCAGGAGCTCTCGCTTATTGTGGGTGCTGGGATCCCAACTCCAGCCTTCAAGAGGAAGGACTCTTAACTTTTGAGCCATCTCTGCAGCCCCTATGGAAGTCTTCTGGATTCTGGTTTGTTTTTAAGGATTTTATCCATAGCTCCAGTACTGTTTGTGGTTTCTGGTGCTGATAGAATTCCAATGGTCTTATTTAAGTCTGAAGTAACAACATACATTCTACACAAGATCCTTACACTGGGGGAGTGAGGAGGAATGTGATTTCTCAAATGCTCTGGTCAGCACCAGAGCTTTACGAAGTTTAAAAGGTTAGCAGGACTCCATGAGTTATATGATGGCTTAAAAAGTAACACTGTGTTTTGTTTCACATTTTTCACACCTGCAAAATGATTCCTGAAAAGTCTGTGCCTTACACACACATTAAAAGTGGCATCCCTAACTCCAGGCTGGGTGGGTCTTCAGTACGAATGCTCTTTCTTCCAGGTGCATCTTAGGTACAGGTGTGGAGGAAGGATGATGAAAACTTGACTCTTGCTTTAAAAAAAAGCCAGATGCATGTTCTGAACTTACTTGCAATACTGATTTCATTATCTTTTCTGAGTTGTGTGACATGCTTAGAACTGAATGATTAGCACCTACATTTATATGTATTGATCATGAACATATCATGTTGTGCATATTATTTATTACTGTTCCTTTGTCACAAATTGCAGGTACCCTACCTTCCTAAGTTATAATTTTCTCTTAATATATTTAGTAAGTTTTCAGTCTTTTTGATCCAAAATGTATCAAACTATAAATACTATATACTTCAGACTTTCTCAATACAAATTTCTTTCCAAGGTATTTAAAGTATATCCATCTGTAATTAGCACATAATTTAAGATATTTTGTCTTCTATTTAATAAGATATTTTAAAAATAGTGTCAAAAGCACAGATAGTCAACACCACTATTTCTCCTTCTTATTTTTCATTTTGTGGTTCTGCTAGAGATAAGACCTAGGATAAAAACCTTCATGCATGCAAGGCTTTATCCGCAAACACTGCTATTTCAATTTCTTTCCCTCTATAATACCATGAAGCACAGAGGTAACACTCGTGGATAAAAGTGGTAAAAGTATAAACATTTCTAACAACAAAGCCAGTAGCAATGATTATTCACGTCTTCTGAAGGCCAAGGATGGGGCCATACACATTTTGCAAGCGCTGCCTTTTAATACTCGAATTATTTCCAAGAAAGAGGCATTATTATCACTTCCCTTATAGACGAGGAAGTCAGAACTTAGAATAACTTGACCAATGTCATACAACTGATAAAAGTCAATACTTACATTCACAACTCTATAAATAAGTATCACACGTCCAAGTCTATAATAAGAACACGGACTTTTGGGCTGGAAGATGTATTAGTGACACCGATTCCATTTTTTCATTTTTATATTCAATCAATTTTAAACCAACATGACACAAAATGTATAGCTATGTTGGAAGAGCACTTACTAACAAGATGTAGGTTTATGTCCCTAGAGGGAGACATTTTCCCTGTACACAGGGAACCTTCAAAAGAGCAGCACATTCAAGGAAACTACTTAGAGATGGGGTGAGGATAGACTGTTGCCACATACCCAGAAAAGCCACCAGAGTAGGGTGCTGGATAACTCACAGGGTAGTCGCAGGGAGATGGGATGAGAAGGGAGCAAAGAGGGATGAATATAAAGTGTTTCCTGGGTTCAATTGACCGGAGGGTTTAAACTAAGATGAACCCAAAGAGATCTGGGATAAGGCTTAAGTTTGGGATGAGGCTTAAGCTCACGTTGTTAGCCGGGGACAAAAACAGATCAACAGATAGGTCTAACTTCTCAAAACTCTTCTGCCATACTAAGAGCACTTAAATTTTTGAGAGTGGCCTTCCTCTTCTGCCTCCTCCATCCCAACCACCCTGCAGGCCCTCAGAGACCACCGGCAAGATTTTCTTGTGGGCAATCGGCTGAGCTGGGCGGATGTGCAGCTCCTGGAAGTCATCTTAATGGTTGAAGAGTGCAA